CGCGGCGGTGACGAGAGGTCTCGCCTCTGCGGGGCCCCGTGCGGCCAGCGCCGCCGCCATCCTGCCGGCTTGCAGAGGGGCCGACAGCGCCCGGTGTGGGTGGAGCCTCGTGTCCGCCTGAGGGCAAACTGCAATCCGGTTTCCGAAACGGAACAAACGGCCCCACGGTGCTGGTTCTGGCCCGTGTTAGCGGAAGGAAAGAAACCCCCGCGTTTTGTTTCTTTGTCTTGCCAGATTCGCAAGCCACGTACCGGCCTAGATATAAAGTTAGAACCGTCCGGAACCGGCGGGTCGGACAGGGGCGGGGTGGCGGTGGCCCTGGATATGGCGCCCAGCGCTGGACACGACCGCGCCTCTGGGGGCAGCAGCCCGTTCTCGCCCCCAGCGGGGCCGGGTCACCGCACTCGGTGTGAGCAGAGCCCGTCTGCACTGACGTTGAGCAGAAAGCCCAGTGCCTTGGGAGCAGTGTCCCCGAACACACTTACCCCAGTCTGTGTGTCCCTTCACGGTGACCCCCGGACACAGGCAGAGAGCACAGCTGTCGCCCACGTCACTCCGCGAGTCACTGAGGCGGAGCCGCCCCAGCCGAGCTCACCGGGCCGAGGGTTCCGGCCGTCTTTGAGCAAACACGCAGCCGGTAAATACGCGAGATCGCGTGAGCCCCGAGACGATGACCGCCGCTGACAGGCGTCCTCTCGGGCCACACGCGAGCGCCGTCAGTGACGCCTCCGTGAGACTGAGCGCCGTGGCGCGGTGGCAGGTGTCCAGGGAGAGGAGAGCCGAGGAGGCAGTGGGAAGGGAGCTCGGGGGTTCCCAGGGAACCCGCACCAGCCAGGCGACGCTGAAAGGAGCTGCGCTGGGGGCTCCCAGACCTCAGAGCTCCCTCGTGGCAGCGTGGGCAGCACCTGCCGCTGACAGACACTGGGCAGCGGGCTCTGACGTTCCCCCTGCGCACGGCCCCGTGGCCTGATGAGACTGACACACTTGGAGGGCTGCTCAGCAGATGGTGGAGTCTCACAGCAATGCGAGGGTACGAGCCACAGCTGAGCCACCCATGGGTCATGGCCCTCGCCACCCTATGGCCACGGGCCACCTCACGGGCCGCGGCCCTCACCACCCCCACGGCCACGGGCCACCTCACGGGCCACGGGCCTCGCCACTCACGGGCCACCTCACGGGCTGCGGCCCTCACCACCCCCACGGCCACGGGCCACCTCACAGGCCGCGGCCCTCACCACCCCCACGGCCACGGGCCACCTCACGGGCCATGGGCCTCGCCACTCACGGGCCACTCCGCGCAGATGCAGGACCCTAAGGCCCTGACCTTCGCCTGCCTTAGGTTAAGACCAAGAACCGGGAGACACAGGAGAAAGCCACAGAACGTCGCGCCTGGCCGTGGTTTCTAGCGAGACCCCCAGCGGCAGCAAATGCAGACAGCGTGTGGGGTCACGCCACACTGAGCTCACGGCTGCCCGGCAGAGGAAACAGACAGGGAGAGCGACACGCCAGCGAAGCAGCGTCTGCAGGCCGGCGCCAGCAGGTCTCGTGTCCGAGGCCTGCAGCACAAGGAGAGCCCCCGAGGGCAGTCGTGGGGGGCCGCCCACCACCCCACCCCGCCACCAGGAGGTCTCCCGGGGCGCCCCGCCGAGTCCCTGCTGGGAGCAGATGTTCCAGGGACCTGGGGTGTGGGCCCGACGGGCCGCTGCCGGTCCCGAGGAGCCCCAGCCTTGTAGCCGGGCCGGGCGGGGCCTGGGGGCGCAGTCGGACCGTGGCAGGCGAGCGAGGCGTGGGAGAAGAGCCCTCCGGGAAGGGCCCGGCGCACACCCGTGGGCTCAGTGGACAGCGGCGGCCGCCCCAGACCTGGGCCTTCGGAGGCCGGCCAGACCGCGCGCACCGCGCTCACAGAGTCCCCGCGTGGCTCTCTGG